TTCTAAGGAATAATCTTTAAAACTTCATTATGGGGGGGTGGGGACACAGTTCAGGTGGGAGAACGCATGCTGGGGTGGTCTGAATAGGGACTCATGTATCTGAATGCTTGGCCCACAGGGAGAAGCATTATTAGACGGTGTGACCTTGTTGGAGTAGGCATGGTCTTGTTGGAGAAGTGTGTCACTGTGGAGACAGGCTTTGAGGTCTCATATGCTTCAAGCTATGCCTTGTGGTACACAGTCTTTCTGCTGCCTGTAGATTAAGATATAAAACTCTCAGCTCCTTCTCCAGCACCATGTCTGCCTGCATGCTGCCATGTTTTCTGTCATGATGATAATGGACTAAACTTCTGAAACTTTAAGCCAGCCCCATTTAAATGCTTTCCTTTATAAGAGCTGCCATGGTTTCTGCACAGCAATTGAAACCCTAAGCCTAGCATGCATGAAGTCTTAGGTTCAAGCCACTACAATATATCAACCAGGATGGTTGTATGTGTGTGTAATTCCAGCATTTGGAAGGTAGCAGCAAGAGAATAGTATCAGAACTTCACAGTCACCCTCAGCTACATAATGAGTTTGAGACCAGCCTTGAATATATAAGACTCTTGCTGAAAAAACTTCACGGTGAGCTGTGAGGGTAGCTCAGACATACACTGCTGACCTGTGCTGCATCACAAGGCTTAATCCCTAAAGCTATATTTCTACAAAAAAAAGGAAACATAGGTGTTTACTGACTTTCCCCTACAATGAATAGTCAATGTCCTAGTCTACAAACTAGTTAGACAAATTCATCCATCTTAGGTCTTATGGTAAAAAAAAAGTTTGAGCTTGAGCAATTTATAATTTATGTTTAATGTTAGACACCATCGATCTAGAGGATTAATTTTACTCATTTCTTAATTTTACTCCATAAAATACAGAGCCAAACCAGAGCTACAGTAGATTTAATTTTCTTCTTTTCTTCTCAAAATCTTTACCTTAATTCCTCTCAACCATGCCTCTTAAAAAGAACTAGGCTAGAGCTGTAGAGATGACTCAGTGGAAGAACATTATCGCTTTTGTAGAGGACTCAGGTTCCATTCCAAGAACCCACATGGTGGTTTTATAACCATCTGTAACTCCAGTGCAAGGAGATCCAACAACCTCTTCTGACCTCCTCTGGTACCAGGTTCACACAGGTACACATACGTGCATACATACAGGCAAACACCTATACACATAAAAATAAACATTAATTTTTAAAAAGCGAGAACTGCCCTGTCGTATCCAGAAGAGTTTCCTTGTAGTCATCTATTATTTCCTGCTTCCTCTTTTGCCATGGACCTCAGACCCTGGGTGGAGGGCAGCTGCGCACAGAATTCACAGCAGGTAAGACAGCATGTGCAAGACCTGTCAGACACAATTTCAGCCTGGAAAAGGCAGAGAGATACAAAGTCCTTTCCTGCCTAAAGAGCTACTAGCAGTTGATAGCTACAGTGAGAGGCGCAGTAAGTTTAGAGGTGCAGCTGTTGATGGGTAGACCATCCTTTAGTGAAGGCCACTTATCTAAATGGTACATGGCAGTATAAACTGCACTTGGGATGAAAATAGGCAGGCATGTATATATAAAGTTGGGTGGTCTGGGAAGAGTAGGAAGAGGGACTGAATATGATCAAAATATATTATTCAAAATTCTGAAAGAATTAATAAAAAATGAGGACAGGTGGACTGGCGAGATGACTCAGTGGTTAAGGTCCCAGGTTCAATTCCCAGCCCCCACATGGCAGTTTACAGTTGTCTAACCTCCACCAGATCCAAAGCCCTTTTCTGGCCTCCACAGGCACCAAGAATGTATATGGTGCACTGTTTTTCACAAGTTCTTTTTTACTTGGAATTTACTGTGTCCAGAAATTTCTGTGCCAAGCACTATACCAGGGATTTTGTAACCCTGGGATTGTTAAACTAATTTCCTAGTTTGCTCCAGGCTCAGAAAGGATCCCCCTTCCACCCTCCTGGTACTGAGGATTTAGCTTAAGACCTCGTGCATGCCAAGAAAGACACCAGACATGGGAACACACAGAACTATGCAGTACCAGACACGGGATGGATTGGAAAGATTTACAGAGTGAACACTCTTTTACATTATCTCAGTCACACAGTTTATGAGCTGACGTGCATGTGACAAAAGATGGATTCACATTCAGTCAAAAGCATCACATGTAAGTATGTGTGTAGGCCTATTCTGGAGCTAATGCAGAGAGCACAGGGAAGGAAAAGAGGATGGAGAAAGCCCCCACTGAGGCTGTGGTACATGCACTAAGTTTTAAAGAAAAGAACAAAGTAAAAGTATCCAGAAAAAAAGAATAATCATGTACAAAAATTAAAGAGGAGAGAAGAAAAGTTCTGGAAACGGCAAACGGAAGATACATTCCACAGTTCACTCATCTCAGTTTACCAGACTTTAGGTCCATCAGAGAGAATCTCTATGGCTACAGCACTAACAGTGGCTGGCAAGGCAGGTAGAAGTGAAACAGAGACAGCCCTCAGTTGCTACCCTTAGGTTAAAAACTCTGAATTATGTTCAACAGCAAAGAGGAAACACACGAGTCTCCTACACATGAGAAACACATCATCAACCTGCACAGCATGTGAATAAATTACAGATTAGAAGCCAGGAACCTGGTCAGGAGACTGTGGAAGAGTCTGACAGTGGGGTGATGAGAAACAAACCAGGGCTATCATAAAGACTAAATAAAACAACTTTGCAGTATTTTTATTTTCTAGTTACCACCATTAGAAAGTTAAAAATAAAAGTGTGTGTGTGTGTGCACGTATGTATGTACATACATATAAATGTAGTGGGCTTACTACTATTGATGGTAAGATGGGGGGAGGGAGAAGTCACACGTCAAACCACAGGAAGCCTAATTTATGGCTTAGTCTACAAAGAAGCACTAGGTTAAGCAGTAACTACAGTACTGTCTGCTATGAAATAATTTTAGTAATAGTAAAAATTACACAATTTGGTCCAGCACGATAACTCGGTGGCTAAAGACATTTGTCATAATGCCTGACAACCTGAGCTAAATTTCTGGGACCCACAAGATGAAAGAAATGACTCTTGTAAGCTGTTCCCTGTCTCCATATTTGTGAATACACACACACAAACACACATATATTTGTGAATACACACACACAAACTAAATAAATGCAAAAATTTAAGTTTACTTACTCTAATACATCTTATTATTCTACCACACAATCATTAAAATTTAAGAGAAACTTCACATTCATATTTTTTGGGCTAATTTAAATCTAATTTTATACTTGTCTCATTTGAACACTAAAATTTTAATTGGTAGGTTTGGTAAATATTTAGATTTCATAAAATTTACAGAGAAAAGAATAGATTTACATACCCAAGATTTCTTATGACACACTTTAACATTTTCCAGTGAATGATGAACTTGTAAATTTAAAATACAGAGCCAGCAAGATGCTCAGCAGGTAAAGATCCCTGCAGCCAAGTAGATGACCTGAGTTTCTTCCCAGGGACCCACATAGTGTACAAGGAGAACTGACTGTTATAAATTATTCTTTGACCTCCACATGCAATGTCCACACTCATATATACATACAAAATGAATAAATAAATGTAAAAAATTTAGATTACATTAAAAATTTATAGTACTTGCTGTGTGGTGGTGGCAAATGTCTTTAGTCCCAGTACTTTGGGGGCAGAGGCAGGCAGCTCTCTGAATTCAAACCCAGCCTGGTGAACTGGATGAGTTATAGAACAGGGGCTACAGAAAAACCCTTGTCTGGAAAAACAAACAAACAAAACTTAAGGGGAAAAAAATCAAAGTACTGGGGTAAAGACAGGTAGATGGATCTAGGGACTCGCTGTCTAGCCAGCTTAGCCAAATGGTGAGCCCCAGGTCTCAGTGAGAGCCTGCCTCCGGAAAAACAGGGGGTATGACTCCTGAGGAACCACGAGAGCAGAGCTTTGGGCTTCACTGGGACACACATACATGCACCTGCACACACAAACACATACCCACCTACAAAAAATCCAGTTGCTCAGGTATGCTAGCCAGCTTGTGGGTGGTCAGTAGCTCTATGTAACTATGACAGAGGGCATTTAGGCCTAAAAAGTAACAAAGGTATTGGCTTCTGCCCACTCCCGACCATTGGCATTTATATCTACTTAGTGTTGAGGATATCTGCATAACAGACAACTTCCAAAGTATTAATTATGAAAATGGTGCCACTGGCCATATCCTCATTATTGTATAGCTTACATTCTCAACTCCAATACTAAGATAGGTAAGAAAGGAAATCTTCAAATAACTAAATAAAATTGTGCTGTACTACCTAACACATGAAGCACACTAAAACATGGTTGTGGGATGGACACTCTTTTCCATGGCCCAAGGAACAATTCAGTTGTCTGTGGCCTATGTAAGTCTTATACTATTTTCCTATTAACTACTTAAATTTATTAGACTTTATTTTTAAAAAGGCAGGAAAAAATACTTTCAACTGTGTATTTATTAGGAGCATTACAGTGGAATGGTTAAGAGCATAAGCTCGCAGTCAAGACAGCCTGGATTCAAATCCTGGTTCTATCATTTATTAGATGTGTGTGTGATCTTGGCAAAGTATTTGGCCACTCTATGGTTCAGTTCCCTGTTCTGCAATACTGTGCCTCAAGGAAATAATACACAGAGAACACTTGGCACATAGTAGCTGTTCAGCAAACATTCTGTTAGAGAGATGCCAGAAAAGTTGAAATTATGACTAAAGTCGAAGCTAGGCTTCTTAATTTTCCATGTTCCCCGCATGATTATACCTCGGGGTGGGGACGACTTGAAGTTCTCAAAAGGAGTATCTTCCATGCAGTTACATTCAATTAAAAAAAAAAAAACTAAACAAGAAACTTCATCTACTGACCGGGTAATTATGCGCATAGCGGCAGCCAAGCAAACAGAAAAACACGAAGCTAGAGAGGAAGGCTTTACCTGCTTTTCCGTTTTCGAGGTAGTTTCTCCACTGTGCCAGTCAGTCTACAGACCAAACAAATGAAATCCGTAACTAAAAGAGAGCACACCCTCGGCCTCCCCTTGCCTGTGGGGCACTCCATGTACCACCCAATGGGGCCAGAGACTGACCACAGGTTGGCCGGGTCTACCTCTGACCTGACAAACCCCTCAAGTCGGGCTTCCCTTCCTTCCCTCGACCAAGCGATCCCCGGACTCACTGGTCCCCGAATACCCCGTGCCTCAACGCTCGGCTCCCCCAAACCACCCGGGCCGTTGGCCTCATTGTCTGCCCGGAGCCGCAGCCCCGCCCCTCAGCCCCGATCCCCCGCATTCCTCGGCCCCCGGTGGGGCGTGCGTCCTCCGCTCCAGTCCTGCACATTCTCGTTCCCCGCCCCGGCGAGCTGCTCGCTCTCCGCGCCCCCAGATGCTGCATGCCTGCACCCCCGCCCCTCAGGGCTCGGCCGCTCCCTCGGCCCCAAGCCTCCGCCTGGCACCGCAGCCCGCCCCACCTGGGGGCCAGGCGACTCCGCGGCTGCTGGGACTGCCGGGCTCCTCTGACCATCCGGCTCCTGCTCCGCCGCGGGAGCTGTTCCGGCGGCCTCAAGGCTCGCTCGGGATGCTGAGGCAGCGGAGGCTGGAGTAGGCGGAGAGACGGGAGGAGGGCCTCGCGCCTCGGCCAGGCTAGCCGCGGGGCCTGCCCCCTCCGCGCCTCTCCTCGGCTCCTATTGGCTGAAACTGCAGCGTGCCTGAAAGTCCGGCCGCCGATTGGGAGCTCGGGCCTTCACGTCCCGCGCGGCCCACCCTGAGGTTTGGTTGAGACTGCAGGTGGCGGCAGAGGTGCCTTAAATACTGCTAGCAGAGCGGGAGGAGCCCTGCGCGCCACCGTGCGCCAGAAAGGGGGAATTGCGTCTCCGGCGCCAGACACCTGCTTCCAGGTTCTTTGGTTCTGCGTCCTGCATCCTAGACATCTGCTAATTCCCCCGCCTCCGCACAGCTCCAGAACCAAATCAAGCACTGCACTTTCTCCAAATATATTCAGAAGTTCGAGGGCAAAGCAGTTCTTCTTCACAGCGTCGTTCTGAATCACCTCGAATGCAGTCCCTGCCAGCATCTTGCAGAAATGATCTCGTCTCAGTGCTACCCTTCGAAGAGGTCACGATACCAAATTGTAAAGATCCAGCAATATAAATATGTTTTAACAGCAGGAAAGATCGTAAGCTTTGGTGGAAGCTTGTAAGAAAGCACGAGAATTTCTTTAATTAGCACGAAAAAAGAAAAAAAAGACATTGTAAAAAGAACCAATTGCAGTAACTACAAATAACGTATTCCATTTTGAAAAGCATAAAACGTACTGCTTCTTGTGTAAGCTAGCCATTTTGTGCCATTGCAAATGATTCAAAAATCTACATCAGTTAATCAGTTTTAGTATAAATTTCACTGCATTTTGACTCAAGTATACAACCACCACGTAAGTACAATAAATATTAGAAACCTACTCTAACAAAGCTATTTTGAAAATACAGCAGATTTATATGTATTGCATCTGAAGAATATAATTTTGGGCGTGGGTGGGTTTTGAGACAGGTTTCTTTGTATAGTTATGACTGTTCTGGAACTCACTTTGTACTCCAGGCTGGCCTCGAACTCAAAGAGATCTGCTTGCCTCTGCCTCCCTGGTGCTGGGATTAAAGAGGTGAACTATCATGCCCGGTGAAAAATTAAATTCTTAAGACGAGTAATACTCTGTATAACTTTATTCCTATACAGAGTTGTCAGCAAGATCCTAAGTTCATTTCTTCCTGCTAGATTCAGGAGGAGGCATAAAATTTTCTCTTGAGTCTCTTTCATTTTAGAACACATTTTGTTTAGACACACCAACAATGCAGTGGCAGAGATATGGCTCAGTAGAGTAAAAGGTGCTTGCTGTTCAATCAAGCCTGACATTGTGTGTTCAGTCCTGGAACGCACAGAGCAACAAACTCTAAAGTCTCAGACCTCCACGTGCACATGACACACACACACACACACACACACACACACACACACACCTGCACACACATGAAAAAAATAAAAATGCACGAGGACAAATAAATATTCCACAAATCTCCACAAATGGATAGTATCCCAAATAGTGAGATACGAATTTTTCCACAGAACCAAATGTATTTGATGCAATGGGTTCTTCTTTATTTCTAAATGGTTTATCTTGTATCCATCCTTGATGCTAAGATGTCTTTCCTCTTATGAAATATGGGATGCAGTAAGGTATAGTGGTATTTTATTTTTTGCAATGCTGAAGAGCTCTTATTACATTTAAGAGAGGGAGGCAGAGGGAAGGAGGAGGAGGGATGGTGTTTCAGGTAAGAACATGTAGGGGGACAGAAGTCAACTTGTGGGAGTCAGTAGTTTTCTCCTTTCATCTTGTGGGTCCTGGAGACCACACTCTGCTCATTAGGCTTGTGGCAAACACCTTTTCCTATTGAGCTACCTTGCTGTCCTACTGCTGACCCCCAAAATGTTCTCCATAATTGCACTATAGGAATTTTGAAGTTGTATTTATCTGTACTGGTGTTTTGCCTCCATGTATGTTTGCACGTAACACGCATGTCTGGTGCCAATGTAGGCTCCCTGAGATGGAAGTTGCAGATTGTGATTTGCCATGTGGGTGCTGGAAATTGAACCCTATGCTTCTCTGGAGAGCAATATGTCCTTTTAACTACAAACCATCTCTCCAGCCCTGTTATGGGATTTTTAAAAATGGCTTTGACTAGAGAAAATATTACCAAATGTCTGTTGTTTCCCCTAAATGATGTAATTCTAGAGCCATAGTCACCAATTATTTCAATTTTAATTTTCTACTTAATTATTAACTCAGCAAGAAACCAAGGAGTTTTGGGTGAAGGGATCCTGCTGTAATCTTGAAATATCACGCATGACATTCTTACTAAAATCCTCTTCCTACTACCCAACATTTTCCACGACTGGCCTCTCTGAAGCATAGACAATCTGTCAACAGAACTGCAGTTAACTGTTGGGTCTTCCTATATGTAACCTTCATGTTGTGTCCAAGTTCTATCATCTCAATTTCTGGGCTCATGCATATTCCATTACCCAGCCCATTATTTGTGTCTGCCCACACCAGACACTTCCTCCAAATCCCTTGTACTAAAGTCTACACTGTGGGACTGGACTGGTGACTGTGGTTAAGAGCGCTTGTTTGCAGAGGGCCTGGGCTAAGCCCTTGCCCAACGAGCCATGCCTAACCCGTTCCAGGGTGTCTGATGCCCTCTTCGAACTCTGCAGACATAAACGCAGGCTAAAGAAATCACATACATAGAACAAATAAATTCTTTTCCTTAAAAAAGTTATACTGTTAGTAGCCATGTTTGATGACCCTGAGTTCCTCTTCTTAATCACACAGATTTTGATCGAGTCCTCAGTAGATAGCAGCTTTGGGCCAAGTACTGGTCATTTTGTGGGTGCTATTCTTAATATTATAACCAGCTTCACTTTATTTTTAGAAAAGAAATGGAAGATCAGAGAATTTAATTTGTTCAGGGTCAAAAAGTTGCAAAACCCAATAGTGCTTAAAAGAGAAGGCTTGAACAGTCACTGTTTAGTGCCCTCCAGGGGGTTCAAGTTCCAGTTTTCTGAGATCTTGACAGCTTACCTGTCCTTTCCAATTCCATTCTCTCAACCGGGGTAGGGTGGGGATAGGAGCAGTTTAGACAGACATCCATACCAAGAGTACCACAAGATATAAGCTGGGCATGGTGATATATGTCTTTAATCTCAGCACTTTGGAGGCAAAGCCAGGTGGATCTCTACAAGGCCAGTGTGGTCTACATGGTGAGAATCTGTCTCAAAACAACCAGTGCCCCTGGACCTCAGAAAAATTAAAAGGATCACAAAATAGGACATGTATAGGCCAGGAATGTAGCTCAGTGGTTGACTGCTTACCTAGCACGCACAAGGTCCTGGGTTCAATCCTCAGTACTGCAAAATAGGGCATATTAGCATTTATCTAAAATGCTTGATTATAGATTAAAAAAATTCCACTCCCATTTCTATACAAAATGCTCAGAACCATTTTCAGGTACTCACAAGAGTGGTATATACTGCAATAAATGTTTTTGTATAAACGTCATACATTGTTGAATTAAGAACCATGTTAGCAATCTAGGCATAAACTTCTCATAAGAAAGGTACATATTCATGTGATGAAGGAAACTTGCATAATTCTAGGGGACTTTTCAAATGCAGGGAGGGGAAAAAGGTTAGTTCTGTTTTTAAGTCACACAACCAAGTGAAAGAGTAAGCATCTCTTTGAAAACATAAATTACATGAAATGCTACCTTCTTCTCAGGGAATACTATAGACTACATTAGATAAAATTATTTTTCATAAACTTCCTACAATCGTTTTATTAATTGACACCGAGGGAATGTAGCACCTTTCATTCAAAGAACTGGAGGTGCTTTACAAACATCAGCATTTAAAAAACAGAGACATTTAAAAATCTGAAGTCTTGCAGTTGAATCTCAATTCTGTACACAATTTTCTGAAGGCTGACACAAAGTGATTCTACTGTCAATGGCAGGATTTCACAGTACAGGCATGGAGCTGGGTTTACAGAGAAAAGACACATACAGAGATCTTAAATGCAAGGAACACTGTGAACCTTATTTCAAAAGCAACTCAACGTTTAAGATGTCAGAATCTTCTGACAGTTCTAGACATCCAGATGGAATAGGAGCTGACACAGGTTGCATATTAGATGTAGTCTTGATCGAGGCTTTTTAAGATCACGCCCAAGTGAACACATTTAAAGAAATGAGATTCTTGCATTGATCTATGGAAAGCTAGCCAAAAGTCTATCAGCCAAATGAAGAAAGGGAGGAAATGGCAATTCAAAGTAGACAGTTCTCACTGGAACCTAGGACACTTTATTAGAAACCAAGTATATCACAGTCAAATAAAAATAGTTCTTAGCCCCATTGATACAACATAGGGTATTTTACATTCAGCCTAGACACAGGGAGTAGCAGATTCCCTCCACTTCAGATCTCTGGCTTGCAAGTGTCTCTCATCACATGATTACTCTGAATAATAAATACATAGCCCTTGTTTAGTAGAGGGATCCAATTATTCTTTTTCAGGCTTGCAAGGTCCAATACATTCACTCTTTCTTTCCTTCACAAGTCTAATAGAAAAACTACTTTTTCCATGCCTCAAAGCCACTGTTCAGTTGAAGAAAAGTCAGGCAAAACAGAGATGGCAGTTAAGGGATGGAAGAATATTATTGGCACATGCCCAGCTAGTGACAAACAAAAGCAGTACACCGTGACTTGAAAATAAGTCACATTAAAGGAGAATAAAAACAACCACACCAACCTAAGCTAAGGAGTGTGAAGCAGAAAGAGTGGACTGAGTTACTGATTTTACTGGTACAACTTAAAAGCAGTGGAGGGCAAGCACTTAAATACAACTTATGATAACACAAACAAGAAAATACTGCAGAGAGTTGTTCAAAAACCACATCAAGTTGTCTGCACCATTAATTCCAGTGTTTCACAATTAATAAAATACATAGCTACATATTCCTGTGAGATAAAAATACCTTTCCACCTGAATTACACTGGGGTTAGGAAAGTAACACAAAGCTACTGACCCACCATTAGTTCAAGTGTGTGCAGCAAATGTCTCAGTCACTTCTTTCATAGACTACACAATTAAAAACTGTACAAGGGGCTGGGTGATTAGGGACAAATAAAATCAAAAAAATATTGTGCTCATTAGTAAAAGAAACCCTGATGAAATAGTATTTGCCAAGAAGCTTAGACTATTAAGATTTTTATTGCATTTTTAGGTAACCTGGAAGTTCTTATCCTGGAGGGGAAAAGTTGTTTTTTAAAACTACCTGAACAGATGCTAAAGTGCTTTAATCAATTGCTTCACATGGAATTCCTGGGATGACAAAAAATAATTATCACTATAAAGGGATACCAAAAATTTCACAAGATGGTACATCCTAAAGTCATCTATGACAACAGTCATAAGAGATAATGATATACTTGTCCTTATTAAGTGGACAATTACATATCAAGAACTGATCATCACAACCCTTTATATAGTCAAATTACACACACAAAGCTGAAATATGGCATAACAGACCTTCACAAGCAAACCGCCTGTTTTTTTCCCCATACTTTAAATAATCTGCTTCAGATTACAGTTCACAAACACAAGGGTTCTGATATTTCAGCCTTTAAAGTTGCTGTTAAAAACTGAATACTTTGTAAAAGTTAAGGTCAAAGGTTACAGCGAGAGAATGCTTGCTACTGAAAAGTACTCATTTACTTGATGACACTCAGGAGAGTGTAAACTGGATTGAACACATTCTACTCAATTGGCATCAAATCTACACATCAGCGCTACAACTATTAAATGTTTCCTATTACTATAGAGGATAGAAATCAAAGTGTTACTATGGCAGTTATGTTCTTTAGGCACAATTTAGTGGTATTTAAAAAAAATAAATATTGAATTTCAACTGAAATTTTAGATTCAATAACCAAAGGGTCAAAAACTCTCAGGAAAACAAGGAAAGAGAAAAGAAAAAGAAAAGTAACCTTTAGCTAACAATGAAAGTTGTTTAAAATTTCTAACACTTAACCTATCTGGGTTTTAAGATTACTTTATTAAAAAATACAAGAAATCTGAAAAAAGATCAGTACAATTATCTTAATGTACAAAGTTATAAGCTGTAGCAGTTTTTAACTAAAATTTAAAAACACAACAAGGAGGGCAGCCCTTTAGACCAATTTATTTTATACCCTTTTGAAACATCAAATCATCATCCAACAATGGACAGTGAAGTTTACAGCTGCGACAAGGGGACATGACTCAGGCATCTGCAGTCCATCCTGCCCACTGGACAACTTTGCTGCTGAAATTTCTTAACCCTACCAAACAAAAGCAGAAGGCTGGCTGATACAAATGAGGATTTCCATGTAATTGTCAATGGGCTTTTTAAAAAAGGAAATGCTTCCTGTTTCCCCAGAACAGTAAATAAGCAAGAGCTACATGCAGCAATGTGAGTATTAAGACATTTCTCAAGTTTTCTCAAACAAGTCCAAGGTGGGGATGGGATGAGTGACAAAACTGATAGAAAAACATTGCTATCGACACCATAACAAATAATAAATTTAGATAATTTAAAAAAAAAAAGGCAAGAGGCAGCATTTCAGCAGCAAAGTGCTCAATAATAAGTATATTGTAGAGGGTACAAGAAAGTTGGGGTAAAAGAGGGTATAAAGTGGGCCAGCAGGATGGCAATGGCCTCAGAGGAAATACGGCGTCGTGGTTCTGGGAGGAATAACACGCTCTGAATCTGGAACTGCCCGGAATAACTTTGGTTCTCTCGTATTGACATCTTTGAAGACCATGATGGAAGCGATGTTTCCACAGCGATAGCAGTAGTTAGGAGCAGACCACACTGTGACCAGCTTCTCGTCAAACATAAACTTATAGCCTTCATGTACAAGCTGATGTGCTCTGCAGATGAGTTTTAAGTTGTTGATATGAACAAACTGCAATTTAGAAAGGCTTTGTGAGTATTCCATCCAACAGCTTAATAACCATTCCAAGCAGCAAGTATCACTATTGAAGTTTTCATGATTCTAAGTCCACTCTATAATCGTTCCCAACATTTCCATTGCCACTTTGGCCCAAGTCTATTTTGAAGTACATGACCCACAATTTGGAGTTTCTAAGCCAGGTATAGTAATTAGCACTGTATTCTCAGTTACTCGGAAGGTTGAATAGGAGGACCCCTTGAGTCCACAAGTTTGGGACCAGTCTCTGCAACACAGAGATGACATATCTTTAAACCAGCCATAGTAATAGTAAATGGCTAGGTTGGTAGAGAGGCTTGTCAACAGGCCTGGGGACCAGAATTTGATCCCAGAACCCACATAGTAGGAGAGAACTGACTTCCACAAGTTGTCCTTTGGCCTCTTCTCATCCTTCCAACACGCACACACACACAAATAAATAATAAACAAGCAAGCAAGTAAACATCACAAAAATCGCTAGGAGAATCGGGAGTTTGAGGCCAGTCTAAACCACCTATTAAGAACTATATCAAGAAAAAGAAGAAGTTTCTAGGGGGAAAAATTACATAATTACCACCAGATACAAAGCAAAGGTTTTCTATTTAATTATATAACTAAATTATTATCAGTCTTATTATGTGAGGGTTTAGTGTATGCCACAAAGAGATTATTCTTCTTTGCAACCTGAAGAGGAAAGAATTCAGACTCAGTAAAGTCTTTCCAGAAGTAAGGATAAACCAATGGCCCTAGCACCTAGTTCTATGGTTCTATTATTATGTTCAACAGAACATGTGTGTCTGTGAACGCTATCTGCCCACATTTGTTCATGGCTGTTTTGATGTAAGTACATAATTTGATGAAGCTGCAGTCATAAAAGAGCAGCAGAAGACGTCAGAATTTCTGTATATATCTTATTTGTAAATTATTTGCACAAAAGATTTATAGAAAACAGTTTTTGAATTTTAAAATTGCTGTATTCATGCAGCCAGCACTGTAGATTATTAGAGAGCAAAGATTGTAATCATAGTGTTTTGTAAATTGTAAACAAGAAGTTATTTTTATATTATTACTGTCTAATTATTCATCCTAGTGGTTCTTATTTTCATCTAGTCATAGAGATACAGTAAGTGCCTTGGAACAATACTGAATTTTCTTAGCTTATGTATATTACTTTAAATTCTGAATTCAGGCTACAGAGATGGTTTTAGAGCACTGGCTGCTTTTCCAGAAGATAGGAGTTTGATTCCCAACCACCACACAGCAGTTCACAACCACCTGTATCTGGCCTCTGCAGGCACTTCATGCACATGGTGCAAGACACAGAATAAAAAGTAAAGGTTATGTCATGCAGAGTGGTGCACACCTTTGATCCCAGAACTGGGGAAGCAGAGATAGGCAGACCTCTGTGAGTTCGAGACCAGCCTGGTCTACACAGTGAGCTCTACAGACCCTGTCTCAGAACAAAACAAAATGGTTAAAAGTATGATTTAAACAAAAAGTAAGTAAAATAAAATGTGAAATCAACTGGGATTAGAAGACTGTCAGAATATATGTATATTTCAGGATATTTGATTGGCCATTAAAATGAACAAAAAAGTTGCCTATCTTGCTCTGGTGATCCTGTTACTTAACTATTATTTTAATAATATAAGCAGACTGCTGGAATATTATTTAATTATATAAGCAGACTGCTTTCACTATAAAATCTGGCTGAACCATTTAGGAAGCATAATTCAATCAACTACAGTAGGAATCTGATACATATAGCAACAATAATTTTATTAAATTAGGCTTGACGTTTGATATCTGAGATCATCATTATTCTTTTACCAATCAAAGAAATACTCTTCCAAAAATGCTAGCTTTACCTCATTTGTGACTTTTGCTCCAAAAAGCCAACCTGCTCCTCTGGGACTGATTGCCCAAGTGTCTACATCTTCAGGATCTGACCACACCAGGTCACAAAATGCTCCTTTGTGAGGAATTTCCTGATTTCGTTCAATGGTTCGAATTTGATCCAGTGTTTTGATATCAGGAGATAAGCCGCCATGAACACACAAAATTTGCTCATCTATTAACTAGCAAAAAAGAGTAACAAAGGATAATAATAAACTCAGTCATATTTAAATTCAACAATAAATATAAAACTAAGTAAAGGCAACAACTGATAAAAACACTTGAGGCTCTAAGGAGAGTCATATAAACTTACAGCTGCTACTGTGAGCATGTCAAAAACTTTGGTACAGTATCTCCAAGCATTAGCATTTCCATATTTTGTTTGGCACTCATCTGTGAAGAAAATAGAAATGTTCTGATTAATGAAATAATGTATCAAATCCTATAGTTACCTTTGTTACAAAAGAAATTCACCTCAACTCACCTAAGCAAAAAATTATGGTGCATATATATTCCTAATAAATTTTTTCATATTGAAGCAAAAGAAGTCTACTATCTAAAAATACGCATATTCTAAGGAAGACCGGGATATAACTTAGAGGCTGGATTTGTGGAATATTTCTTTACGCTGTGTGAAGATGTATCACTGTGATTGGTATAATAAAAAGCTAAATGGTCAATAGCTAGGCAAGAGGTATAGCCAGAACTTCTAGACAAAGACAGTGCTGGGAAAAAGAAAGGTAGAGTCACCAGCCAGATGAAGAGGAAGCAGGATGGCATTTTAAAACAGATTAAAGGTAAATGAATCATGTAAAAGAACATAGATTTAATAATATGGGTTAATATAAGTTATAAGAGCTAGTGAGAAACAAGCCTAAGCTAAGGTCAAGTTTTAATAACTAATAATAAGTCTCCGTATCAATTTTATTTTATTGTTTTTTTTGAGACAGGGTTTCACCATAGTTTTAGAGCCTGTCCTGGAACTAGCTCTTGTAGACCAGGCTGGCCTCGAACTCACAGAGATCCGCCTGCCTCTGCCTCCCTAGTGCTGGGATTAAAGGCATGTGCCACCACCGCCGGCATCTCCATATCAATTTTTTTGTGAGCTGGTGAGCCAAAAAAAAAAAAATCTGCCTACATGTTTACCTTGCATATATAAAGCCCAAGTTCAATCCATAGTACATCTATACATACAAATAAGATGGGACTAGAGAGATGGCTCAGTAGTTAAGAGCACCTGATCCTCAGTTCTCAGCAGTCATCTGGCTCACAACTAACTGTAACTCCAGTCAGTGGATCTTACACTCTCTTCTGGCCTCTGCAGGTACCAGGCACAAATGTAGTGCATATACAACATTCAAGCAAAACACTCATACACATAAAATATAAGCAAATCTTTAAAAACCATGACCCTTAAAGAAATTATAATCCTTTTCATTCCAGGAATGATCCTAAAATGAAGTTGGAACTATCACACAAAATGTTATCATTGGGAAAGAAATTATTGATCTCACATATGCCAAACCAAATGCTTTGGACAGTTATGTTAATGCCAAGTAATTCTATAAAACATTTCTTTAATATGACTACCTGATCATAGGAGGATAATCAAATCAAATAAATTAAAAGACCCTTAATTATAGGTGCATGAGTAATTCTTATCCCAACATTTCTGAGGGCAAAGTTATTTTTTGTGAGATCTTTGGAAAACTGCAACTAAATTTTTAATTTATGCTGATTGGCCAGTAGCCAGGCAGGAAGTATTGGTGGGACAACCAGACAGGAAGTAGAGGTGGGTCAATAAGAACAGAAGAATTCTGGAAAGAGGGAAGCTCTCTCTGCAGTCCTGTCCAGACACAGAAAAAACAAGATGTGACTACACCGATGAAAAAGGTACCAAGACATGTGGCTAACACAGATAAGAATAATGGGCTAATGTAAGTTATAAGAGTTAATAAGAAGCCTGAGCTAATGGGTCAGTTTATGATTAATGTAGACCTCTGTGTGATTTCTTTGGGAGTTAACAACTACGGGATCTGGGCAGGACAGAAACCTCAGACAACATAATTTGGTACTGTTATCATTTTCTTCAGCCAAAGCATACTGAGCAACAAGTCCTAAACCCACATCCCTTCCCTGCTTTTTGTCCCTTTGCCCTACACTGAAGAATGTACTATAATTACACACATAAACCACTTATCTCTTAGACACATATTTTTGAGTATCCATAATCTAAAAGTCTAAAATTTAAAATGCTGCAAAAAAGCCAAACTTTCTAAGGGTCAAGATGATAATATATGTCATTCATAATGGAGATACACTAAAAAGAAATATTGGGAAGCTGAAAACAACTGGGAGGTTGGAGTGATGGCTCAGTGGCTAAGAGCTTTGGTAGTATCAATGCAATTGCACTCCATAAACTTATAAGGAATGGGACTATTAGGAGGTGTAGCTTTGTTGGAGTGGATATGACCTTGTTGGAGGAAATGTCACTGTGGCGGTGGGCTTTGAGATCTCATATATGCTCAACCCATGCCCACTGTCTCAGTTCACTTCATGTTGAGTGAAGATGTAGGACTGAATTTCAGCTCCTTCTCCAGCACCATACCATGCATACCATCAACCTGCATACCATCATGTCACGCCATAATGATAATGGACTAAAGCTCTGAAAATGTTAAGTCAGCCCAATTAAATGTTTTTCCCGATGCGGGAGGTGAAGCTTAACAGAGTAAAGCCAGGCTGAAAGAGATTTATAGAGAAAGTAGGCAGAGTCAGTGAGATACCATGTAGCTGCCAGGGACAGATGCCTCGGCTGGAATCTGCTGAAACTTTGCCAGTAGGTCACAACTTTGTGATGAAGCACAGATTAATGGAAATGGGTTAGTCTGGGATATAAGAGCTAGCTAGCAATATGCTTAAGCTATTGGCCAAACAGTATTGCAAATAATATAGTTTCTGAGTGATTATTTTGGGTCTAAGTGGTTGGGAAAGAATGAGCAGCTTCCCCCAACATTTTTCTTTGTAAGTTGCTGTGGTCATGGTGTTCCTTCATAGCAATAGAAACCCTAACTAAGATAAGAACATCTAATGGTCTTACAAAAGACCTGGATTCAGTTCCCATTACTCACATTGTGCACAGACATACATGCAAGCAAACTCATATTCATAAAATAAAAATAAGTCTTAAAATAAGTAAAAGCCAGATGTGGTGGCAATTTTGGTACTTGGGAGAAACAGGCAGATAGACTTTGAGGTGTTCGATACAAAAAAATTCTAGGTCAGCCAGCAATATATAGAAACTATGTAAAAAACAATTTAAAAATATAACTATAAATAAAATAAAGATTAGGGTAGCAATCTCAGGGTTGCCACCATGCCTGATAACCTGAATTCAATCCCCAGAACCCACAGGGTTAAAGAAAAAAAACAACTCTTATACCTCCACATATGGCCACAGTACACACACATTTTAAGTTTATTTCCATATTCTTTTTTTAAAAATAAGAGGGACGTGGTGGCACATGCCTTTAATCTCAGTGCTCAGGAGACAGAGGCAGGTGAGTTGAAGGCCAGCTTAGTGTACAGTGAGTTCCAGGACAGTCAAGGGTAAGTGAAGAGACCCTGAGACAGACAAACAAACAAGTGGATTGTACCAAACATGGGGACAGCGATCTATAATCCCAGAACTTGGTAGGCTAAGGCAAGAGGTTGCACAATGAAACCTTGTCTATAAATAGGTAAGCAAGTAAATAAATGTTCAGCCAGCAGTTTGGGAGACTGATTCAGGAGAGTTACTGAATTTTGAGGCTAACTTGGAACACTCAATGAATTCAGGCCAACCAAGATACAGAATGAGATCTTATTTCAAATAATCAAAAAATTACTCAGATACGCCTTATCTGAAATGTTTCATCCCATTTGAGTGCTCAGGCCTCTATCCCCAGCATTTAGGAGGCAAAGTGTTGCAAGGAGGGCCTGCTTGTTTGTTCTGGCCGCCCAGCTAGCTTAGCTCTGGTATAACTACACAGAAACTATATTAATTAAATCACTGCTTGGCCCATTAGCTCTAGTTTCTTATTGGCTAATTCTTACATCTTAATTTAACCCATTTTAATTAATCTTTGTATCGCCATGTGGCAGTGGCTTACCAGCTTAAGTTCCAGCATGTCGTACTCTGGTGGTGGCTCCATAGCATCTCTCTAACTCCGCCCTTCTTTCTCCCATCATTCAGTCCAGTCCCTCCACCTACCTAAGTTCTGCCCTATCAAAAGGCCAAGGCAGCTTCTTTATTAACCAATGAAAGCAACACATAGAAGGACCTCCTACAAAACTACGCTCATATTCCCAAATATTGTTTATAATTGTTTGTTTACATTTAAAGGGGGATATGCTATAGAGATTTGCATTAGTATGAATCTTAGTTTACTGATACAAATTTAAGGTCTATTTTGTTATATGTATATTTCTGCTCTTGATTAAGGTACTGAGATTGTGTAGTTCATTTAAAAAATGTAATATGTAATTAAGAAATAGATTAATAATCATCTATAATAATCAAACTTGTAGTTATGTTAGATTTTCTATATGTAAAGAGATATATTTCAGTTAGATATTTTTCAAATCTTTCAGGATCCTTCAGAATATGACATTTAAAGTGTTTAAAAACTTAAGACTTTTCATGACAGTGAGACCCATCTGCTCCTGGCAGCATCAAGCTATTTCAAGAGGATGATGGGCGTGGATGATGGGCATTAAAGAGACTCCTTATGGAGTTGGTTAGCCATTTGGGCAAGAAACTGCTCTTGCCTGGACTGCTTCATGGTATGTTATAAAAAATGGACCTGCAGAACCCACAGAGAAATGACTGCTGGTTGAACTTGCCTAAAGGTGAGATGATCCTTCGGGGTACCTGCTTCATGAAAAGAGTCTGCAAGACATTCTACAGGATACAGAAGAAAATGACAGGCAAACTACCAATATAGGCAGAACTGTCTTTGAAAATTTCCTGCTTCATGGAAAAGCTACTGGACACTATGGGCCTGCAGGCCAAAGATGGATGCCCCAACCCCAACGGTGCGGAAGAACTTTGGTGACTGTCCAGGCAGGGAGATATCTCTGTCATTTCTAGAGTTTTGGAAGTTGCTTACAATGCACTTCCGGTTTACTTAGGTAATATTATATCCTTCTGGAGTCTTTGATGGAGTTGAAGAATTTATAGTTATAGTTTTCCTTAGGAGATATAAACATTGTAACTGTAGTTCTTGCTTGATACCTGTTTTGTTATATGCAGTTTTGCTATGTTAAAGTTAAAGCCTTTTTTGTTTAAACAGAAAAGGGAAAATGGTGTAGGAGGTCCTTCTGGCTATATGTTGCTTTCATTGGTTAATGAATAAAGAAACTGCTTTGGGCCTGCTGATAGGGCAAAACTTAGGTACGTGGGGAAAACTAAATGGCATGCTGGGAGAAAGGAGGCGGAGTCAGAGAGAAAAGCTATGGAGTCACCACCAGAGTCAGACATGCTGAATCTTTGCCAGTAAGCCACTGCCATGTGGTGATATACAGATTAATAGAAATGGGTTAAATCAAGATGTGAGAGTTAGCCAATAAGAGGGTAGAGCTAATGGGCCAAGCTGTGATTTTAATTAATACAATTTCTATGTAGTTATTTCGGGGCTAAGCTAGCTGGGCGGCTGGGACAAATAAGCGGGCCCTCATCCTACAGCAAGGCTTGCAGGAAGACTGCCACATGAGTTCAAGGCCAGCCTGGGTCACACAGCAAGTTCCAGTAATCCTATATCAAAATTCCAGAAACAACAACAACAACCCCCCCCCCTCTCTCTCTCTCTCTCTCTCTCTCACACACACACACACACACACAAAATGTTTATACTTCATGATGTTTCAGATTTCAGAGTTAGAGTGTAGCTTAGTGGCAGAGTGCCTACCTTATATGCCCTGGGCACGTACATGGCACATTAAAAACGAAAGTATCACAAATCTGAAACTTTTGAGTGTCATGGTAGTGCTCAAAATTTCACACTTTATAGATGATGATTTGGAGTTGTGGAGTTTCAGATTATGGATACTAAATCTGTATTTTACAAAATTATTTTCAGACTCCATATATTACATATATGATACATAAAATTATAATATTTTATATAATAAAATTATACATACCATAGATATAAAAACTGTGTTAGATTTGTGTCTCATCCTCAAGAAATCTCATGTTTTTTCAAATATTACAAAATTAAAAAAAATCCAAAGTCTAAAGTACTTCTGGACCCAAACATTCTGGATAAGGGACACTGGATCTACATAACATCTGGTATCTTGTTCTACAGCCATTTTATAATGTGCAATAAGTACTCTATGATGGCCACACATTAATAAAATCACTGAACAAAGCATTTTTTAGAATTTATATTAGTCTTACTTCACTGAACTAACACCACAGTATGCTATCCAGAATACTGATTATCCTGAAAAAGAATAAAACATTTAGTTGGGTACGGTGACACATGCCTGTAATTCTAGCATTTTAGAGGCTGAGGCAGACAGATGGAAGCACATTTAAGGTCAGATTGGTTTACAGTGTTTAGACCAGAACCATATAGCAAGACTATCTCAAAAAAGAAAAGAAAAAGACAAAGAGTAAGAAAACAACAAAAAAGCAACTAAATGTCCAATGAGAAACAGACTGATTATGATACGTTCATACATTGTAATATGATATAGCTATAGAACGACAAGGAACTGTCAGGAGATGCCACAGGAGGATCATATGATCAAGGATGACAGTGAGTACTAGTCTACTCTAGGCATCTATGGGGACATTCTGTCAAAAACGAACAAAACAACAAACCAACCAAAAGACTAAGGAAGTAAAAAGGCTAAGCATGCAGCATAGCATTAAGGAAAGACTGGAGATATAGCTCAGTAGTAGAGTGCTTGCCTAGCATGCACAGGTTCTGGATTCAATCTCCATCATTGACCAAAAGAAGAAGACAGGAAAGGGGAGCGGGGATGGGAGAAGGGAGAAGGCATGCACAGACAAAACTCCAGTCTTGAATGTATGTGACATGCACCCTCAGGAGATTCCAGGGTTCTATGCCAACAGAATTTGATTACGATGCTTGAAGTGAGATCCAACAATCTAATTTAAATTAAAAAAAATTTTTTTTTTTGTTTTTTTAAACATGGTTTCTCTGTGTAGCCCTGGCTGTCCTGGAACTTTTTAGATCAGGCTGATATCGAACTCACAGAGTTCAAACTCTGACTCACAGAGCTTACCTACCTCTGCCTTCCGGTGCTAGGATTAAAGGTGTACGCCACCACCACCTGGCAAATAATCTACATTAAAAAAGATTTTTTTAAAATTGGGGTTGGAGATATAGCTCAACAGTTAAGACCCTTTGCTGTGGACTGGAGCTCAATTTTCGGTATCCCATCAGGCAACTTACAACTGTCTGTAACTCCAGCTCCAGAGGACTCTCAAGAATACCTTAACTCACACGCATATACCCACATGCACACGAGCGCGCGCACGCGCACACACACACTCACGCACACACAAATCTAGGCATGATTAAAAATAAGCAAACAGTCCCTTTGGGAGTTATGCTTCAGCACTCGGTGTTCAGGAGTAGGTGCTCTCTGCCCACCACGAGGGCCCTGGTAAACAAACTCTGGCCTTTAGCCACTGGCCCATCTCACAGGCCCACAATCTGCATTTTAAACAAGCACTCAAAGTGATTCCAAAGTGGAAATATAAAATTACACTTTTTTGATTTAGAAAGTGGAAATGTAAGATTACACTTTTTTGATTTAGAAAGCTGTACACCAAAGCCTTAGTAGTAGTCAGTCAGTCTTTCTCTATATGGCAAGATTTCCAGTTGACTGGGGAAACGCAGAGTTAACTAGAAAAAAAAAAAGACAAAAACAACAAAAACAAGTACATATACAACTTTTTCCCCCCAAAAGTAAGATACTACTTAGAATCAAAGAAAAGAAGGTCTTACCATAAAATCCATACACCTGTGTTATCTGTCTACTCTCATGATTTCCTCTTAAAAGTGTAATACGATCAGGCCATTTAGCCTTTAGTGCAAGAAGATAAGTGAAGGTCTCCAAGCTATAGTAACCTCTGTCTACAAAATCACCCTGTAAAGTAAAAGTTTACAGTTACAAACCATACAATAGATGTAAGAGCCCAAAAGAACAATAATAAGAAGCTGCACATTGTTTTTTAAAAATAATTTCTTAAAAATTATTTAGAAACAGGACCTGTGAGTCCCTAGTACACATATAAAAAGATGGCTGCACCGAAGCACTACAGGCTGAGACAGGTGAAGCCTGGATGAAACCAACTGAAATCCAGAGGGTTTCTGGTTCAATGAAAGCCTCTGTTCTCAAGGCAATAAAGTGGAGAGAAAGCCTAGTCTACCCAGAAAGCTTCAGGTCAGCCAGGACAATGTGGTGAGATCCCCTCATAAAAAAGAAAAAAAAAAAAAAACCGCCGAACTGCCCCCTCCCAACGTTACAGGTATGAAATACTATTTACACTTGGGGCAATACCGCACCACTATTCAGGAAATAGCTTTACAAAATAGCAATACATGGCTGGAGACATGCCATCTGTGGTTTTCCCAGAGGACCTAAGTTCTATTCCCAGCACCCATACAGTAGCTAATAATCATCTGTAACTCCAGTTCCAGGGTATCTGACACCCTCTTTTGGCCTCCAAGAGAACCAAGCATGCATGGGGTACATAGACATAAATGAAGGCAAAACATCCATACACATAAAAAAATAATAATAGATTAAAAAACTTAAAATACTACTAATGATTAGAAAGGTGACAGAGAACTTTGCAATGACACTTGTTCTTGCAAAGGATCTGAGTTTGATTCCTAGCACTGAAATGGTGGCTCACAACCATCTGGAACTCAGGTCCCATAGGACCCAATGCCCTCCTCTGACCTCTACAGGCAGAAGGTACACACGTGGTGCAGACACACATTCAAGTACAACACTCAGACACATAAAAGATAAATCAATCTTCAAAAATTTCTATCAATAGGCTGGGAAGATAGCTTAGTGGATAAAGTACTTGCCTTCCAGGTATGAGCCTCTACCTAAATTCAATCCCCAGAACCCACATAGAAACAGCAAAGCGTGGTGCTATGTGCTGGCAATCCAGTACTGAAGAGGCAGAGGCAGGCAGAAGCTGGGGACTTCTGGAGAGCCAGCCTAGCCTACTTAGGGAGTTCCAGGGTAATGAGAGACCTTGTCTCAAGTATAGGTAGATGGCACCTAAGTAATGAACAACAGCCAAGGCTGTTTAATGGCATGTACATACGCAAACATGTGCATGTGCCATACACACATACAAATTCAGAAAATTTCAACATTAAAAAGGCAGAGTAAAAAAATACACCATAATAACAAGTGTATATTAGAAAAAAGTATGACATACCAAACTATACCTTTCCACAGTCTAACCAGGGGTTCTATGTGGTCCTCCTGCCATTATTGGCAGTCATAACTCAGTCCTATTTGTACAGTAAGTTTACAAACATAGCAATTATGTTTAAGTAGAAGACATGACAAAATACAGAGAAGTAAGACTCACCTTTTCATACATTTAAATAGCAATTATTATAGAATTTACATAAAATAAGCCAGAGCCTTTTGATTTTGAATAAGCACTTGATATCACTAGTGTTTACATACCATAAATATATAGTTTGTGTCAGGAACCTGACCTCCAGTTCGGAACAGTTCACAAAGATCATAGAACTGTAAAAGAAAAGCAATATATGCTGATTATAAATTCCTGTGAAAGAGTTAAGATAAATTGTGAATGAGACATGTGAAGAAACAAACTTCAAATATTTACATTTGTAAGAAGAAATAAAGTATAAGCAAAACTGCCAAGATTTAATTCCCAAATCTTAAAAGGCCTTGAAAAAAAAAATACACATAAGCTAAGGTACTGCTTTGTGTAACAAAATGCAAATGACAATTATATTGGGGAGGCAAGTTACAAGGAAACTTAAGAAATCCAACTTAAGGGGCTGGAGAGATGGCTCAGTGGTTAAGAGCATTGCCTGCCCTTCCAAAGGTCCTGAGTTCAATTCCCAGCAACCACATGGTGGCTCACAACCATCTGTAAAGAGGTCTGGTGCCCTCTTCCGGCCTGCAGACATTCACACAGACAGAATATTGTATACATAATAAATAAATAAATATTTAAAAAAAAAAAAAGAAATCCAACTTAAGAAATCCATTCTCTAAAGTTTACTCTCCAGAAAGCTAACAGACCAAAGATGACATCATGAGGTTTCTATTTAGGAGCTGGCATTACAGATGTCAGGCTTATTATAACCTCGTCATCCAGAAAACTGCTTGAAAAAGCAAAAAGAAAATAGCTTTGTAAGTAGTCAAAATGGTTTTTATTTATGAAGCAGCCTCTATTCAGGGCCAATTTAGATACATTTCTGCTCCTATATACCATGACATCAGGGAATGAAATTGGAGTCAGTCAACTGTGTGGTAGAGTGATTCTTCACAGCATATTATTCCAGGTTCTACAGTCCCAACTACACTGTATGTACACAGCAGACTATGAACCAGCTTTTTAGCTTTTAGTTCCCAAGTCTAATGCTAAGTTGTGCCCTCTAGTCAGTGCTTTGGAATTCGTATAAACAAACGCCAGCAGATAGGGGCTGGAGAAACTGCTCAGTGGCTAAGAGCATAAACCGTTCTTCCTCCTGAGGATCAGGGTTTAATTACTAGGACCTATCCAGGTAAGTAGCTCACTACCACCTGCAATTCAAACTCTAGGAGATTCAACTCCTCTGGCTTCTATGGGCACATCACACATGCACATTACACAACACACATACACACACACATTAAAAATAATAAATAAAATGAAAAAAATAAGTCAGCAGGTATTCGAGGTCCTACAGTCCCATCGAAGAAATAGATTAAATCTTTTTCATCTTATTCTATCAGTGACTTGCTATAAAATCTTGCAACAATTTGCTTTTCTAAACTTTTGCTATTTTCATTCTTATTAAAAAAATGAGCAGATTCTAATAAGACATTGATGAATGAACAAGACCAAACCATCTCTTGTTAACTATAATTTCTATGAGAACCTAGTCTTATATTTTGCATCTTTCACCATCATGGAACACCCTACACTGCTCCAAACAACAACTCAGCAGTGCATTACACTTTATAAGTAGAAGTCAAAGTTCATGAGATATTTGACTACTGCTTTTATCTGTCAGTGCAGTGAACCAGGAACCAGGCATAGCATGAAGACCAACACCACCTAATCACCAGCTGGGTTTTGTTTTATTTTGCAGCACAAGTTAGAAACAAATGGATCACTGACTACAAACCCTAAAACTTCCTTGTGAAAATTACCTGTCCATGTATGTCCCCACACACTGTTACTGGTGTTGACACTGGCTGAACATTCGACTCTTCCAAGAGCAGATCGCAAACATAGTCACACAGTCGCTGAAAGAAGAAAAGGAAGAAAAATGTCAACTTTCACGACAATATTAAAACTAAGGATTAAATTAAAAAATACAAAGACTAATATTTAGAGAAACTAAGTCTCTCCTTTAAAAAATATTTTATATGTGTGAGTATTTTGCCTGCATGTACCACTTGCATGCCAAAGAAGGTCTCAGATCCCCTGAAGCTAGAGTTAATGTAAGTGCTGGGAGCTAAACCCAGTTCCTCTACAAGAGCAACAAGTACTGTTAACCACAGAGCCAACTTTCCAGCTCCCCCAACCTCAAGTCTTTCCTTTGAAAGGTAAGAAAATTGTATTATACATTCAATCAATAATAAAGATATATTTTTTTTAATTAGCAGATAAAAGCACATGCCTGAGCAGAAAACAAGACCTGGTACAGCACCATTAAGACTGATTAGGAGAGTGGGGCGGCGGTGGCACAAGTCTTTAATCCCAGCACTCGGGAGGAAAAGGCAGGCAGATCTCTGTGAGCGCGAGGCCACCTTGGTCTACAGAGTGAGTTCCAGGATAGCTAGGACTGCTGCAAAGAGAAACCCTGTCTCAAAACAAACAAACCCCTCCAAAAAAAAAACAAAGAGAGAGAGAAGGCGGGGGGGGGGGGGGGGGGGGGGGGATTGAATGGAAAAAGACCCACACACCTACCCGTCCCAGCCAGCCAGGAGGAAATATATGGGAGAGACAGAGAGAAAGAGAGAGAAGGGGAGAGGGAGAAAGAGGGGGGGGGCAGATTTTGAAGAGGTGAAGGCGGTGAGGACCAAGCTAGTGTGAGTGGCCTGCTTACCACCTGGGCCCATGCCTGGGTACACAGTCAGTCTATGTTTATATCAATGACTCCTGTTACTACTGTGCTAAGAGGATAGTAGTTGCAGAGAGTCGGCCCCGCCCCTCACTGGCTGCAGTGCGGTCCTGCCCTAGCCTGGGGAGCACAATAAAGCTGACCCTGTTCACAGGGGTGGGGGTGGGGTTTGCAGGTGAGCTGTCCTGAGGGCATGAGAATGGGAGAGTAGGTTTTGTCCCCCTTGTCTGCCACAAGGTGGCATTGATGAGGGAAAGATGCCCTCCCCACCTTGTCCTCCTCCACCAGTGGCAGGCAGGTGAGCTGACCCAGCACCTAGCCTGGGCAGCACAGTAGAGCTGACCCTGTTAATAAGTGCATGGGTGAGCTGTCCCAACATCTGAGTGTGAGTGGTGCCTGCATCTCTCCCATACACACACACACATAAGCATATAACAAATTAACTAAAAATGTAATTAGAAAAAAGAGTCAGGTGTGGCAGCACACACCTTTAATTCCAGCACTCCAGGGGCAGAGGCAGAAGGATCTCTTTAAGTTCCAGCCAGGACAGTCTGGTCTATACAAAGAGTTCCAGGCCACCATTGCTTTAGTTAAGGTTTTTATTGCAGTGATGAGACATTATGATCACAGCAACTCTTATAAAGAAAACATTTAATTGGGGTGATTTGCTTACAATGTCAAAGATTAAGTCCATTATCATCATGTTGAGGAGCATGGCAGGCAACAGGAAGTCAGATGAGAGACTGGGCAGTATTCTGAGCATAGGGACCCTCAAAGCCTGCCCCTACAGTAGCACACTTCCTCTAACAAGACCGTATTTGCTCTAACAAAGTCACAGCTAATAGTGTCACTCCCCATGAAATTATGGGAGCCAATTACATTCAAACTACTACAACTATGTAGTGAGACCCTGTCTCAAAACAAACAAACAAAAACACACCCCTCCCAAAAGAAAAAAGCAAGCAAGGGGCTAGATGTGGGTGGTGTGGTTGCTGGGCTCCCAGGAACCGAGGTACTGGAGCGGACCACTATTCAGTTGTCTGGCTTGCAGGGCTCGCTATAGAGTCAGAGCAGATGCTGGAGGCACAGACTTAGGCTGCAGAGAATTCTTGGAGATAAAGATAAAGCTGACAGGATAGTCAAAATGAGATTAATGCAAAAAAAAATTAAACAGATAATGGATCTACAGTCATTGTTAACTTGTTCCTCTGTGGATCAGACAGCAGTACCTATCTTGTTATAGGGACTTGCTGTGCTTACAAAAGAAAGACCACCAAATTCCACCAAGTGCCTACATTTGGTTGCTACTGTAGATTTACATGTTTATAAGGTAGCTTTAATTGCCATGACTCTCCTCCCCACTCTGGAAATTAAAGAACCTGCAGGACAGCAGAACTCATTTCTGGAGTTGCAGAAGGGTACATACCCTCCCCTTCCCTGATCTTATTTAATCATTTTATTTATTTAATGAGTATACTAATTTAATGAGTATCATCTGTGTACTTTTTTCTCAAATTGCCTATTACTTTATTTTATTTTCAAAATAAACTAATAAATTTGGAGTGTAGGCAGCTCACAGCCTCACAATCATCTATTATTCCAGTCCAGGGCCCCCTAGGGCACCAGGTATGCATGAGGTGTACAGACAGACATGAGGACAAAACACCCATATACATCAAATAACAAAATCTAAAAGGCAACAAGAGGGATTGTTCTTGCGTAAGGAGGTGCTCTTGGCACTGTCTTGGGACTCAGTTCACTCACCATGGAAGGAAGCAGGTGAATATGGCCGGGTGAGAGTAACACAGTGCTTTATAATGCCTGTCAGCAGGGAGCCTCTCTCCAGAACTACTAGCTGTGAAACACGTCTGATTCTGACAGCTTTGTTATTTGAAGGAGAAACAGGAAATGGCTGTATACTAAATGCTGTGTGTCACCAGAGGTCTCTAGGATTATTAAATATGGCTTTACTGGGGGCAAAAGAGATGGCTCAGAGGATAAAGGCAACACTAAAGACTCGAGCTTGATCCCCAGAACCCACATGGTGGAAGAAAGAGAACTGACTTTTGCAAGTTGTTTTCTGCACCATGATACATGTATACACTCAATAAAAACAAACTAATTTTAATTAGCTGGGGGTGATGGTGATGACATACATCTTTAGTTCCAGGATCTGGGAGGCAGAGGCTAGACTGGTCTATATAGTGAGTTCTAGGTTGGCTAGGGGTACACAGTAAGACCCTGTTTTAAAATACTAGCTAAATAAAATAGAGAGATGGCTTCAGTGCCTCACAACTCTGTGTCAGTCTTGGGTAGAAGCTCAACTCTGAGGCACAGATGCAGGTATTTTGTCCCTAAGAAGTAGGAATGAGGAGAGTCTGATAAATATGTTATTTCCCTTGCGGTTCTCTAACATGTTTTTTCTTTCATGTTCTTTTCATCTATCTGGGATTACCCTGGATTATTTTTGGTTTATATTTTATAGAACCTGATTTATAAACATTAACTAGGATTCCATTCTAACTGGAGGAAAGCAATAGGTGTAGAGTAGTTCTCTCACTGAAAATGTGTATGCACCTCTAGTCTGTAAATGGAGTTTGGTTAACAGTTCTTTCAAGTCTAGAACAGTACAGCAAACTGATTAAGAACAGAGGTTATTGAAGCAGAATGAATTGCAGTCAGATCTTGATCTCACTGATGACATAACTCTATCACCTCTCATAAGCACTTTCAGCTTACAGCAAACCTCAAGCTTTTTGGAGATAAATGGAGGATAATAAACACATTCTTCATAAATAAACATTTGGGCAAGGTAGTCAGTCTAAACTCAGCACTGCAGAAGAAAAAATGCAGACCAGGGAGGGCCTGAGCGAAAGTGCTCTGCCACCTCCTGTGGGATCACATTTCAAAAGACACAAGTGCAGAAAGTTCATTACTTGCTGAACCCTGCTTAATACATCAGACTGCAAATGCTGCTTTTCATTAATATGGAAACCTAGTATAGTTTTAATTAACGTAGTGACTTCTTTGGTAAGATTGGGTGGCAGGAGTATGTAAAAACTATACTAACTTTATCTGTCGGGGACAAGAACTGTAAAATTTACTCAACTAATTTTGGAAAATAATATTGATATTAACATTATTGACAAATCAGCTATTAAGACTTATTCTTTTTTATTTTTATGATTTATTTATCTTTATTTTATGTGCATTTGTGTCAAGGTGTCAGATCCCCTGGAATTGGAGTTTCAGACAGTTGTGAGCTGCCATGTGGGTGCTGGGAATTGAATCCGGATCCTCTGGAAGAGCAGTCAGTGCTCTTAACTGCTGAGCCATCTCTCCAGCCCTTAAAACATATTCTAAGGCCATTGTAATTAAAGTAGTTTGAGAAAGGAATGAAGTGATCAGTACAATAGAAGATTTTAAAGATAAATGCAAATACAAAAAGTCTAGAATATACTTAAGGCAGGACTAAGGACGTAGCTCATTCGGCAGAGCATCTGCTGAACACATGTGTTTGATCCTCAGCACGGTATAAACTGGACACAATGATGCTCCCTATAATCCCAGCACTTTGGGGGCAGAAGCAGGGAATGAGGACTTCAAGGACATCTTCAATTATATAGTGGAAGATTAACCTGGGCTATGTGAGACCTTGTCTCAAATAAACAAAAAATAAAAACTAAAATTAAAAATAAAAATCACTGCCTGAGTTGTTGACTTTAGTCCAATTCTTCCTTCCTTTTTCTTCTTCTTAAAGGTAGGGCGTTTCTAGAGTGCTGGCTGTCCTATAAATCCCTATGTAGACCAGGTTGGCCTTGAATGCACAGAGATCTACCTGACTCTGCCTCCTGAGTGTTGGGATCAAAAGTGTGCACCATCATGTCTAGCCTTAGTTTCATTTTTTTTTAAAGTCACTAAATTAACTTTGTCTTGGGATTAAGACATAGTTTCCAACAATTTCTGAAACAGTCCTATCATTCTGTAATACATAAATATGTAGTGGCATTCTCATCATAAAATCAAAATATCCAACAATGCTGAAAATGTTGTCTTACAATATCAAATATTCAACCATGACTTATAAATTTATAGACTTAAAAACAAGCACACCCATTTCACTAGTATACAAATTTTCTTTCATTTTAGCAAGTGGTAAAATTACAAGGACACCAAATG